TGGTAGGGGGTTTGGGGGTGTTATGGGGTGGTGGTGGCATGGGGTGGTGGTGGGATGGTGGTGGTATGGTGGGGTGGTGGGGGGGGGTATGGCTGTGGGGATTTGGGGGTGGTAGTGGTAGGATGGTGGTGATGGGGGGTATGGGGTGGGGGTGGGAAAGGTGGGGTAAAGGTTTTGGTGATGGTGGTGGTGGTATGATGGGTGGTTGTGGTATTTGGGGGTGGTGGTGGTGGTGGTATGGGGGTAAGAAAGGTGGTGGGGGTGGTGGTGATGGGGGTTGTGATTTGGTTTGGGTGATGGGGGTGGTATGGTGATAGTAAAGGGGGATTGTGGTGGTATGGGGGGGTGGTATATGGTGGTGGTCGTATGGTGGTGATATTTGGGGTGGGCGTGTGGTGGGGGTATTGTTGGTGGGTGGGATTGTGGTGGTGGTATTTGGTGGTGGTGGTTTGGTAGTGGGGGTAGGTGGGGTTGTATGGGGGTGGGATGATGGTGAAAACGTGGTGGTGGATGGTGGTGGGATGGGGTTTTGGGGGATGGTGGGGGTGGTAGTGATGGGATTTTGGGGGGTGGGGGGGTGGGTTGGGGATGGTGGTGGTGGTTTGGGTGGAGTAGTAGTAGTAGTTTGTAGTAGTGGTGGGGGGTGAAAGGGGGTAGTGAAGCCCCGTGGGGGTGATGGTGTTTGATTTTGGGGGTGGTGGTGGTAAAGGTGGTGGTGGGAAATATTGTAGTACTATGGTGGTGGTGGTATGGTTTGGTGATGGGGGTATGGTTGTGGTGTGGTGGGGAAACTACCTTTGTGGGGGACACGGTGCTGTCCCGGGGGGGGTTTCCCGTAGCTTTAGCTCACCGTTCAAAGCCAAAGGTTCCCGGTGCTGCCCCATGGCTTTCAGGGCCCCGTAGAAAAAGTCCACCAAAAAACAAAGTCAAAATTAATTACACTTGGATAAATTCACCAGCAAATTTTACCCTTTTCCCATATTTGTGGGGAAAAAAAAATTTAAAAAGGATAAAAAAATTGCGGTAAGAAAATATAAAGAAAAAGAAAAAACGACAGATTCATTAACACTCTGCATAAAAAAATAGAAAAGTGAAAAAACAGGGTGTGGAGAAAAAGTGAGAGGCTGCCCTGTAGCTGCCCAAAAAACTATCCGTCATAATCCGAAGTTACACCCATATCCAAAATTTCTAATCAACGGGACATTACCCATTTTAGGAGACCACGTAAAAAATATGTTGACAGATCCTTCTCAAACCCAACGCCCTCTCACCAAAGTTGTATTAAATTTTTACTACTACTACTAAATACTTACCACCCTCCGGGGAGTTTACAAAAACTGACTTTTTCTGCCACTTTTGTCGTAATCAAACTCATGAGGGCCACCTCAAAAAATCTCTCGAGTCTCTCTGGTACTCGGGCTTTCTGGGGCCCGGGGAAAACCCGGAGTGGCTCGGCTGGACAGAGGGTTTTTAGAGTTTTAAAAAAAACCCCAATTTTAGGAAGGAACCAAAACCCAAACCCTTTATACCACTTTTAACTCAAGATGTGTTGTACCCCCGTTAGAGGGCGGGCCAAAGAAAGGGTTGTAGCAAAATTTTTTCACCATTTACCCCAAGACTTACCAAACCCCCGTCTATAGGGCTTTCCCCACTATAAGGGGTAAAGGTACTCGAAACCGGGGTTTCCCTACCATAGGGGTTTTAAACGGTACTTTACTTGTAAAAAACTCCCACACTTTCCCTTTAGAAGCCACTGGGGGATCAACCACATGGAGAAGAACCCCGGGGCCCGGAAACCCCTCCCGACGAACATTATCATATATATTCTCATGGGGCATGCAAAAGCAAGGACTGAGTCAAAGCCCCTCTCCATCCTGTCTAGCACTAACTTATTTTGTGCTTTAAAAAAACCCCCCCCCCGTTTTGCTGTCAATTCATTCCGTTTTTCCCACAAAAAGCTGAAAAGAATTCGTTGCTCCCTTTATGGTAAAATGACAGAAAAACATCTTAATTTGACGGAATATGAAAAGGAAAACCATCCAGTCATAAGAAAGACAGGAAAAAACCCTAAAACGTGGAAAAATTATGCTGCGATCCCGCCAAGGCAGGACTCGCAGCAATGGTTTCAAGGGTGGAAAAATTCGATTCAGGAAGGATATAGGGAAGGGACTGGGTTTTGGAAAAAGATTTGTGGAGGGGTGGGAACAAACTCCCCAGTACAGTTATTCAAAGGGTAAAACGGTTTTGTAGTTTTTAAAAAAAGGTTAGATAAATAATGGGGGGGGGGGGTTGGGGGGGGGGGGGTGTGAGTTGCACCCCGATAAACTTGTGTTGCTGGGTCTGGTGGGAGTTTCTTTCCCTTTCCCTTTAGTGGAAAGGGAACCCCAAAAAGGGTTTGGGGGCATTGGGTAACCGGGGGGAAAAATCATGGGGGTAATCCGGGGGGGGTCATTGGACTAATCCGGGGGGGCATTGGGTAATTTCCGGGGGGGGGGGGGGGGGGACCCCTTCCCCCGCATGGGGCAGTAGGCCTTTTGCAGTGTTTCCTTTTTTCTTTTTGTTCTTGCTTCTTATGAACCTTTATGGGGGCAGTATGTTTTAGGAAAAAACCAAAATGTCATAGAGTATGCCAGGAAGAAAATACGACCCTGAAAAGAATATGTTCCCGGAAAAACCCTCCCCAAAAGAAAAGGGATCACAGGGAAAAAACCCTTCCATAAAAAAGGGTATGACAGGAAAACCAACGCCCATATTGGCCCCTACTTAAACAAAATGGGTCCTAACAGGGTAAAAGCAAAGGGAAAAAGAGGAGCTACTCAAGTCCCAATGCCCCCAGTTTTTTGCAAGCCCCCTAACCAGAAATGAGAGTCGAAGATAAAAAAGAATTTTTTTAAAGAAGAGGGCCCCAAAATTTGATTAACACAACCTTCCGATGTTTAAACCTACCCAAATGAAATTCGAACAGGCGATAAATGAAAAATGCCCCCTGCACCCCTGCCCCAGGGGCCCGACTCATGGAACTCTGTGTTCACCCAAAAACTGCGGAAGGGCCCCCCCTCCCCGGCCTTTTTTCCCTCCTAGGAGAGGGAGCAAAGACACGGGGGGCGTCCCCCAAATTTCTAAAAACAACAAAAACCCTAGCCCCCCCCCACAAAGGGGGGCAGTAAAGGGAACAGCAAAGAACTACAGAACCCAAAAAAGCACTAAACCCTCCCCTATCATAAAAAAACTTTTTAAAGGGGGCCTAAGAAGCAAATCAAACCCCCCATCCAGAAAACCCCTCAGGTTTCACAACCCAGGGGAACAGGGTTTAAAAACCGGTCGTCCCCTGTCTGCTCAACTAATCCTTTTACGACAAGGTCCTAAATGCACTAGAAGACAAAAAAAAAATGGGAGATGTAATATAAAACAGACTTTTCCAAAAACCCCCCCACAAGTGTGCCATGGGGTAATAGGGGCACAAAAACGCGCTAAAAAGGAAAAACAGGAAAAGTCGGGCGATTTGGGTCTATAATTTCCTCACTAACCCGAACACAGAGAGTAGTCGTCAACAGAGTTTAAATCCCAGGGAGCTACGGTGAAAAGCCTGTTCCCCAAGGCACAAATAAAACTCCCATCTTGGGGCCTCATCCTCATATCCGACAAGACAAGGGTGTCCCCACAGCACCCTGTCTTCCTTTTCAGATGGGCACCCCCATCGCATGACAGTCTTCCATTGCAGACACTGCAAGGGCTCCAGCGGACATCAACCAAAACTTTGCCCTTAACATGTTGGGCTGAGTTTTCCAGCACCACGCCCAACATCCTGGCTCTCCATGTTTCGGGACCCCCATGTGGCTCCAGGTTTTCCCAGTCAATCTCCCTGTGGTTGAAATCCCCCATAACCAGCAACTTTGCTCTGCTGGAGTGAGCTCTTCTTGCCACCTCAGCAAGTGTGTCCACCATTGCTCTGTTGCTCTCTTCATATTCCTCTCTTGGCCTCCTGCAGTTCTGTGGTGGATTATACATCACTGCAATGACCACTTTGTGTTCCCCAGACTGAAGTGTACCTGCTATGTAGTCTCTTTCTCCCGTCTCATCTATTCCTTTCATTTTCTCGAATTTCCATCTGTTTTTACGAGCAGAGCAACCCCACCTCCCCCCCTGCCCCTTCTATCTCTCCTTATGATCTGGTATCCTGGTGGGAAGATTGCATCTGTTATTGTCTCCATGAGTTTTGTTTCTGTAACTGCTATGATGTCTGGGGACTTCTCATTGATTCTTTCTTGCCATTCCTCATGTTTATTCGTTAATCCATCTGCATTTGTATACCAAACCTTCAACTTCTGTTCTAATACTGTAACTGTGGTGCGGGGGGTGGAAACAGAGGGATCGGTGTGTGATGGTTGGTTTGGATTGGATTGTTCAAGTTGCCTTGGGGGTGTCGTGGCTGGAGTCATTCTGCAGGTGTTTCTGGGGGGTGCGCTTGTCCTCCATTTGATCCTGGATTATTCTGCTCTCCTTTTTCATTTCCTCCCATTTCTCCTTTCGTTTTTGAACTCTCTCTTTCATTGTCTTCCTTTCGTCCTGTGTTCTGTCTCGATCGAGGTACACACTCCGGAACTCCTGCTTGCCTCTCAGCCGTGCTTTCTCCTGCAGGATCATGGTTCGGGTTGATTCTGCCTCGAAAATTACTCTGTGTGTGTGTGTCTGTGTGTGCGTCTGTGTGTGTATGAGGGTGAGTATGTTTGAGTATGTGTGTGTATTTATGTGCGTGCAAGTGTGTGTTTTTGGGTACTTCTTTGGATGTGTGCTTGGGAGAGAGAGAGAGGGGAGAGAGAGAGAGAGAGAGAGAGGAGAGAGAAAAGAGAGAGAGAGAGAGAGAGAGAGAGAGAGTGATACTCACTTCCTTTCAATTAAACAGAACTTGAATACATTAGCAGCGTGCTGCTACCCTACTCTACATGATAAGTGTAGTGGGAAGAGCAGCTAGCTATGTTTCCCTGGAATATATTACTCACCTGTGTGTGAGGAAGTGAGGGAGGGCAGGCGAGGTCGCCGGCACAGCAACACAGTCTTGTAAGCCTGGCGGTACTGCCTGTTCATAATCACGTAGATGACGGGGTTGATGCAGGCAGAGATGTAGATGAGAACATAACCCAGCACGTGTAGACCTGGCCCACACAAACACCTTTGTTACAGCACATACGTGGTTTTATGAATACGTATGATATGGCTCACGAGACTAGGAGTGAGTGAGCTAGGAGCATAGGCTCGTTCCCTTATAACCATAGAAAAAGTGAGTATAAACACACACACACACACACACACTGAGATGAACCTCCAACAGTCACTTACAATGGTGGCCAATGAAATAGATGAGATGAACTTCCAACAGTCCCAGCTTTCGCCTAGTTCCTGCTTTCACCTGGTCCCAACTTTTACCTAGTACCTAATCATTTCCTTGATCCTTGTTTTAACTTGCTCCAGGTATTACAGTGCTACTGAAATTTTATGTTCCGTGTTTACCTTATCCCTGATTTCTGAGCTCACCTGGATAGTCGACCTTCTTGTCCAGGTTCTTGACAAGGGTGATGGGCAGGTAGGTGACGAGGAAGGCGATGAAGATGATGAGAACCATCTTAGTTATCCTCCACTCGTTCCTGCGACGACGTGCTTCACGTTCTCCCTGGTGAGGTAACAGCTATAGGTAAGGCGTCGGGAGAGACAACATCGTAAGAGTGAAATAGGACGCCATGACAGGACAAGAGTGTTGATGTGGTGATTACCAGGCAAAATCAAAATGAAAAAAGCAGAAGGCACAATGTCAGTTGGTGGATTCAGGAGTCAGAATGGGTGGGTAAAGTCTTCAGTAAGTAAGAAATGGCTGGAGAATATTAGATCACAGACCTGGTTTGTAGTACTTGACTCTAAGAAATGGACTTTGAAATATCTTCTCATAAGTTATGCAGTATTTACTTTCGCAAAAAAATAGTTGGTTTCATTTGATAAATGAAAAAAAAAGAATTATTAACACACATACAAATTGCGAAAATAGGAAGGGGCGACGCAGGAGAACCTAAATCATTCATTAATAATGGTAGAATTACGATACAATGTTAGGTAAATGGACAAAGATGCAATTAATGTAACATTTTGCTTTCCAGGAGCTTTCTCAGGTCGTTACGGCTTGACAAAGCTCCTGGAGAGCGAAACATTGTCACAATAAAATGTCACATTAGCTGCGTCTGTAACCATTAACAATCATGACTGTGATGTTTACAGCTGACTCAGGCATCACAACAACTATAACAACAAGATTTCCATTAGCCATAATGTAAAAAAAAGCAGTACTAGGAACTACTAGGATTAAGATTAAGACTAAGATGGTTGTACAGAGGAATATAATAGTTGTGTGTACATACCAAAAGCCCCTTTGTATGCAGAGCATTTCGGGCAAACTTAAAGATTAACTAAAGATTAGTAAGGCAATAATACATAGTTCATATGGTTATTAGATGAGTTACAGTGAGTACAGGAGAATTGAATAGTCTAGGGAATTGTCTGGGGAAACTAGTACCTCAACGAGGACCAAGAGACACGAATGGCAAACTATATGGGGTCGAGAAAGAAGAGTTTTGTGAGCTTACACACTGAAGAATGAGACACTTAAGTAACATTTGGGAATCTTTACTGAGGAAAAGTTTCGCCAGACAATGGCTTCTTCAGTCCAATGCAGAGAAGAACGGTGAGAAAAGAAGAATATGAGGCAAGCAGTCTCTCAGCAGTGATCATGTAATAGAGCACATGAAACAGACAGCGACTACTTGTGGCTTCCAGAAACTGGAAAAACAGGAGACAGTCGTAAGACACTTGTAAGACAGTCGTAAAAAACTTGTAAGAGAGAGTCGTAAGACAGCTAATTGTGCTAATACTGAATTAAGGAGCTCTTCAAACTGGTATTAACATCCTGACATGAGTACAGTGGTGGTGGTATGGTGGTGGTGGTGGTATGGTGGTGGTGATGGTGGTGGTGATGGTGGTGGTAGTGGTGGTGGTGTTATGGTGGTGGTGGTGGCATGGTGGTGGTGGTGGTATGGTGGTGGTATGGTGGTGGTGGTGGTGGTGGTATGGCTGTGGTGATGGTGGTGGTAGTGGTGAGGATGGTGGTGATGGTGGTATGGGGTGGTGGTGGTATGGTGGTGGTATGGTTGTGGTGATGGTGGTGGTGGTAGTGATGGTGGTTGTGGTAGTGGTGGTGGTGGTGGTGGTGGTATGGTGGTAGTATGGTGGTGGTGTGGTGGTGTATGGTGGTTGTGATGGTGGAATGATGGTGGTGGTATGGTGATAGTATGGTGATTGTGGTGGTAGTGGTGGTGGTGATATGGTGGTGGTCGTATGGTGGTGATATGGTGGTGGTCGTGTGGTGGTGGTATTGTGGTGGTGGTGGTATTGTGGTGGTGGTATGTGGTGTGGTGGTGGTGGTAGTGGTGGTTATGGTGGTGGTTGTATGGTGGTGGTATGATGGTGATATCGTGGTGGTGGTATGGTGGTGGTATGGTTGTGGTATGGTGGTGGTGGTAGTGATGGTATATGGTGGGTGGTGGTGGTGGTGGTATGGTGGTGGTGGTGGTGGTGGTAGTAGTAGTAGTAGTCGTAGTAGTGGTGGTGGTGATGGTGGTAGTGATGCTCGTGGTGGTGATGGTGGTAGTGATGGTGGTGGTGGTGGTATGGTGGTGGTGGAAGTGATTGTAGTACTATGGTGGTGGTGGTATGGTTGTGGTGATGGTGGTATGGTTGTGGTGATGGTGGTGAAACTACCTTAGTGGTGACACGGTGCTGTGCCTGGAGGGAGGGTCCAGTAGCTGGAGCTGCACCGTTCATGCCACGGTTACTGTGCTGCCTCATGCGCTTCTCAGACCTGTAGAGAAAAGTCCACAAAATCAACGTCAAAATTAATTACACTTGGATAAATTCACGCAGCAGATCTACCTTTTCTATATTTGTGAGAAAGAATTTAACAAGGATAAAAACTTGCGGTAAGAATATATAAAGAAAAAGAAAAGCGACAGATTCATTAACACTCTGCATAAGAAAAATAGAATAGTGATAACGACAGGATGTGGAGAAAATGTGTAGAGGCTGCCATGATAGCTGCCAGTAACACTATCCGTCATAAATCCAGAAGTTACACTATATCCAAATTGCTAATCAACGGGACATTACCCATTCAGGAGACCACTGTAACATGATGTTGACAGATCCTTCTCAAGCCCAACGCATCTCACCAAAGTTGTATTATTATTACTACTACTACTACTACTACCACCCTCTCGCAGTTTACAATCTGACTTCTGCCACTTCTGTCGTAATCAAACTCATGAGGTCCACCTCAAGAGAATCTCTCGAGTCTCTCTGGTACTCGGGCTGCTGCCTGGGTACCAGGAGTGGCTCGGCTGGAGCAGAGCTTTTGAGAGTTTAAATAAGCCTCATTTCAGGAAGGACACCAACCCTGATACCACTTGAACTCAAGATGTGTTGTACCCCAGTTAGAGGGCGTCCACGACGATTGTAGCAAACTTTTACACCACTTATACCGAAGACTTACCAAACCCTTGTCTATAGGGCTGCCCCACTATAAGGTTGTAAACGGTACTCACCGTGTCCATACCATAGGGCTATAAACGGTACATCACTTGTATTAACTCCGACACTCCTTCAGAAGCCACTGGCGGATCACCACATGGAGAAGACCCGGGCCAGGACCCGTCCTGACGAACATTATACATATATATTCTCATGGGGTCATGCAACAGCAAGGACTGAGTCAAAGCCACTCTCCATCCTGTCTAGCACTAACTTATTTAGTGCTTCAAAAACCCCTCCCACGTTCGTCTGTCTAGATTCATTCCGATGTTCCCGACACAAGCTGAGAGAATTCGTTGCTCTGTGATGGTATATGACAGAAAAACATCTTATGTGACGGAATATGACAGGAAAACCATCCATGTCATAGAGTATGACAGGAAAACCGTATACGTGACATAGTATGCTGCGAGTCCAGCCAAGGCAGGACTCGCAGCAATGGTTTCAAGATGGAAAAATTCAGATTCAGGAAGGATATAGGTAAGCACTGGTTTGGTAATAGAGTCGTGGATGAGTGGAACAAACTCCCGAGTACAGTTATTCAGGCTAAAACGTTGTGTAGTTTTAAAAATAGGTTAGATAAATACATGAGTGGGTGTAGGTGGGTGTGAGTTGCACCTGACTAGCTTGTGTTGCTGGGTCTGGTGCAGTGCTCCTTCCTTGAGTGGAGGTAACCAGATTGGGTGGGTCATTGGGCTAATCCGGGGGAAAAAGTCATGGGGCTAATCCGGGGGGGCTCATTGGACTAATCCGGGGGGGTCATTGGGCTAATCCGGGGGGGGGGGGATGGACCTGCTCCGCATGGGTCAGTAGGCCTGTTGCAGTGTTCCTTCTTTCTTATGTTCTTGCGTTCTTATGAACCATCATGTGACAGTATGTCAGGAAAACCAACTATGTCATAGAGTATGCCAGGAAGACTACGACGTGACAGAATATGTTCGGAAAACCATCAGTATGACAAAGTATCACAGGGAAAACCATCAATATAACAGGGTATGACAGGAAAACCAACGCCCAGTATTGGGCCCCTACTTAAACAAGATGGGTCCTACACAGATGACAGCAAGGAAATGAGTGAGCTACTCAAGTCCCAATATGACTCAGTTTTTAGCAAGCCGCTAACCAGACTGAGAGTCGAAGATCAAAATGAATTTTTTATGAGAGAGCCACAAAATTTGATTAACACAAGCCTATCCGATGTTATCCTGACGCCAAATGACTTCGAACAGGCGATAAATGACATGCCCATGCACTCTGCCCCAGGGCCAGACTCATGGAACTCTGTGTTCATCAAGAACTGCAAGAAGCCCCTATCACGAGCCTTTTCCATCCTATGGAGAGGGAGCATGGACACGGGGGTCGTCCCCTCAGTTACTAAAAACAACAGACATAGCCCCACTCCACAAAGGGGGCAGTAAAGCAACAGCAAAGAACTACAGACCAATAGCACTAACATCCCATATCATAAAAAATTTTGAAAGGGTCCTAAGAAGCAAGATCACCACCCATCTAGAAACCCATCAGTTACACAACCCAGGGCAACATGGGTTTAGAACGGGTCGCTCCTGTCTGTCTCAACTACTGGATCACTACGACAAGGTCCTAAATGCACTAGAAGACAAAAAGAATGCAGATGTAATATATACAGACTTTGCAAAAGCCTTCGACAAGTGTGACCATGGCGTAATAGCGCAAAAAATTGCGCGCTAAAGGAATAACAGGAAAAGTCGGTCGATGGATCTATAATTTCCTCACTAACAGAACACAGAGAGTAGTCGTCAACAGAGTAAAGTCCGAGGCAGCTACGGTGAAAAGCTCTGTTCCACAAGGCACAGTAACTAGCTCCCATCTTGGTCCTCATCCTCATATCCGACATAGACAAGGATGTCAGCCACAGCACCGTGTCTTCCTTTGCAGATGACACCCGAATCTGCATGACATGTCTTCCATTGCAGACACTGCAAGGCTCCAGCGGACATCAACCAAATCTTTCAGTGGGCTGCAGAAAACAATATGAAGTTCAACGATGAGAAATTTCAATTACTCAGATATGGTAAACATGAGGAAATTAAATCTTCATCAGAGTACAAAACAAATTCTGGCCACAAAATAGAGCGAAACACCAACGTCAAAGACCTGGGAGTGATTATGTCGGAGGATCTCACCTTCAAGGACCATAAAAATTGTATCAATCGCATCTGCTAGAAAAATGACAGGATGGATAATGAGAACCTTCAAAACTAGGGAGGCCAAGCCCATGATGACACACTTCAGGTCACTTGTTCTATCTAGGCTGGAATATTGCTGCACTCTAACAGCACCTTTCAAGGCAGGTGAAATTGCCGACCTAGAAAATGTACAGAGAACTTTCACGGCGGGGCATAACGGAGATAAAACACCTCAATTACTGGGGGCGCTTGAGGTTTCTAAACCTGTATTCCCTGGAACGCAGGAGGGAGAGATACATGATTATATACACCTGGAAAATCCTAGAGGGACTAGTACCGAACTTGCACACGAAAATCACTCACTACGAAAGCAAAAGACTTGGCAGACGATGCACCATCCCCCCAATGAAAAGCAGGGGTGTCACTAGCACGTTAAGAGACCATACAATAAGTGTCAGGGGCCCGAGACTGTTCAACTGCCTCCCAGCACACATAAGGGGGATTACCAACAGACCCCTGGCAGTCTTCAAGCTGGGACTGGACAAGCACCTAAAGTCAGTTCCTGATCAGCCGGGCTGTGGCTCGTACGTTGGTTTGCGTGCAGCCAGCAGCAACAGCCTGGTTGATCAGGCGCTGATCCACCAGGAGGCCTGGTCACAGACCGGGCCGCGGGGGCGTTGACCCCCGAAACTCTCTCCAGGTAAACTCCAGGTAATGTGGCAGAGTATGACAGGAAAACCATCAATGTGGCAGAGTATGACAGGAAAACCATCTATGTGGCAGAGTATGACAGGAAAACCATCTATGTGGCAGAGTATGACAGGAAAACCATCTATGTGGCAGAGTATGACAGGAAAACCATCAATGTGGCAGAGTATGACAGGAAAACCATCTATGTGGCAGAGTATGACAGGAAAACCATCTATGTGGCAGAGTATGACAGGAAAACCATCTATGTGGCAGAGTATGACAGGAAAACCATCTATGTGGCAGAGTATGACAGGAAAACCATCTATGTGCAGAGTATGACAGGAAAACCATCTATGTGGCAGAGTATGACAGGAAAACCATCTATGTGGCAGAGTATGACAGGAAAACCATCTATGTGGCAGAGTATGACAGGAAAACCATCTATGTGGCAGAGTATGACAGGAAAACCATCTATGTGGCAGAGTATGACAGGAAAACCATCTATGTGGCAGAGTATGACAGGAAAACCATCAATGTGGCAGAGTATGACAGGAAAACCATCTATGTGGCAGAGTATGACAGGAAAACCATCAATGTGGCAGAGTATGACAGGAAAACCATCAATGTGGCAGAGTATGACAGGAAAACCATCTATGTGGCAGAGTATGACAGGAAAACCATCAATGTGGCAGAGTATGACAGGAAAACCATCAATGTGGCAGAGTATGACAGGAAAACCACAATGTGGCAGAGTATGACAGGAAAACCATCAATGTGGCAGAGTATGACAGGAAAACCATCAATGTGGCAGAGTATGACAGGAAAACCATCAATGTGGCAGAGTATGACAGGAAAACCATCAATGTGGCAAAGTATGACAGGAAAACCATGTAATTGAAAGAGTATATCAGGAAAAGCATCTATGTAGCAAAACATGACAGGAAAATCATCTATACCTGGAGTTTACCTGGAGAGAGTTCCGGGGGTCAACGCCCCCGCGGCCCGGTCTGTGACCAGGCCTCCTAGTATGACAGGATAGTATGACAGGAAATCCATCATGTTAACAGAGTGTGACATTAAAATCTCCAGGAAAAAAGGGAAGCTCAGAGTACATTATGGACACTCAGAGTACACTATGGACACTCAGAGTACACTATGGACACTCAGAGTACATTATGGACACTCAGAGTACACTATGGACACTCAGAGTACACTATGGACACTCAGAGTACATTATGGACACTCAGAGTACACTATGGACACTCAGAGTACATTATGGACACTCAGAGTACACTATGGACACTCAGAGTACACTATGGACACTCAGAGTACACTATGGACACTCAGAGTACACTATGGACACTCAGAGTACACTATGGACACTCAGAGTACACTATGGACACTCAGAGTACACTAT